TCATTCACCGGGGGGTTCGTTTAGACTTTGAAGTTTGCTGCTTTAAAGAAAACTCCTTTTAAGATCATCAGTGTAGTGGATTTAATATTTCTGATATTTATTGATGCCGGAGTTGTTTTCCTTCCTGAGTACAGGATCGAGAAGGAATTTTGGAACATCAAGAAGTTTAGTTCGAACTCGCTTAAACATCTCCTCCATTCTGTCATGTGGTGTTCTTTTTCGTACATCAAGTTGCCCTTGTACTCGAAATACTTATAGATCTTAATCACCGTTGTCGTAGATGATATCCATATTTGTGTCCACAGTGGGCCATTGTACTTACAATATACCTAGTATTAATTTGCAGGGGACCGTTGTATCTACTACGAGCTCCTGGAATTGTTCGTTGACGAGCCATTATTTATGCGTCATATCCACCTTTCACCAATCTCAGGTGGTAGTTTTGACGTTTGCATTTGTTTGTAGGGATTGTCGTATGAGTTCATGCATTGAGGTCTTGTATCGTACTTTCAGTCACTATTGGTTATATGAATGTTCTTGTAATTTGAACTCCCTCGCACATGATTCAAGCTTTTGTACTTTGTGTATGTTTGAGTCCGAGTTAAGTTTCTTTTAGACTCGGGTTTATCGAGTCTACAGCTCCCACTTTATGTTGTATAGTGTGAGTTCCAGTGTGAATTCAAGTTCTTTGTCCGGATCAAATGCAAGATTGAGTCCCTTCTTGTTCTTGAAGGTTCAGGTTCTTTATCGTTCATGTCGAATTTGGGTCCAGGTTGAATTCAATTTGAATTCCTTAATTCTCCACATCTTGTTCCAGTTTGAGTTCAAGTAGCAAGCTCGAGTGATCTTATTCAATTCATTTCATTTTTCAAATAGAGTTCGAGTTTGAGTTCAAATGTTCGGGTCCCCTGATGTTGCACAGTTCGAGTTCAAAGTACATATTCGAGTGCTTGTTCAAAGTCTTCTGAAGTCTTTGCAGGTACAATTTCATGTTCAAATTGATTTGAATTCAGTCACAATTTGATTTTATTTTATTTGAATTTGAACTTTAGAAATCATTTAGGTTTTGTTCAGGTTCAAGTTCAAGTGCATGTCCTTTTTGAGTTCAAACAGGTCCAAGTACAGTAACATTTCACCCAAAATTTCGGCAGCCTCCCGGCATCTCCCCCGTTTAGGGGAAAAATCTGAGAGATTGGGCCATCCCACCATGCTACTCGAGCGTGTATGGTAGGTGTTGGGGGACATCGGGCCATACATTTTTTCATCCCACCACTACACCATGCTACTCGAGCGTATATGAGGTCTTCAACAGTATACGTAGGCGAGCACAGGTAGATCTCCCCACCACGCTACAAGAGCGTGTATAGGGCTTTCCCATTTCGTCGTATGCGTCGCACTGGGCTCCCTCCTACCGTGCTTCGAGAGCATGTATAGGTGGGTCCTTGGTTCGCAGCAAACACCGAAAATGAGATTTAAAGTGATTACCCGCCTCGTCGTAGGTACCGAACTGGGTTTCCTCTCACCATGCTACGAGAGTGCGTATAGGGGGTTCCCCGATCCGCTGCACACTACGAGAACGAGAATCTGAGTTTTAGGTGATTACCCGCCTCGTTGTAGGCGTCGCATCAGGCTCCCTCCTACCGTGCTACGAGAGCGCGTATAGGTGGTTCGCCGGTCCATCGCAAACGACGAGAACGAGAATCTAAGTTTTAGAAATAATACTTTCGGGATCGGCGGCTCGTGGATCAAGGCAAGGAGGCTCGTAGACCAAGGTAGGAGGGCAAGCATTTTTGTTAACTATAATTAAAATTAATTAATCACAATTAATTGAATAATTACTTTTAATTAATCATTTTTAATTAATTAATTATAATTAATTAAAATTATTAAAATTAATTAAGATAATAAGTTATAATTAATTTAAAATTAATTATAACTTAATATTAATTAATTCTAATAAAATATAATTAATTAATAATAATTAGTTTACAAATTATGATTAATTAAAAAATAATAATTATAATTAATTATACTTGATTAATATAATTATAATTAAAATTATTTTATATTATTTTTATATATAAAAAAAATTAACTTGAAACCTAAAGGAAAGCATGGTGCGGGTTATTTGCAAAGATTATTGCTTATTCAAGATTTGCAAATCAATCCATTAGGTTTGGTGTGTGTGTATATCTCATTAGGTTTGGTATGAAATGGGTGTTCTAAGAATAAAACTTCACATTAATTTCGTATGGCTTTTCTTCCTTGTGGGTTAGATAGCTGATGATGACAATATGACATAACTACACATTTTTCTAAATGACATAACTATACATATTTATTACTTTCTAAACTACATTGTTGCATCTCTCTTCTCCGTTAGATTAGTTACTTAGCAATATTTGTTTTATTGGAAATGTTACAACAACAACAACATCAAGCCTTTATCCCACTACGTGGGGTCGGCTACATGAATCTTTTTTCTCCATTGTGTCCTATTAAAAGTCAAATTCTCGTTTAAATCTAATAAAGAAAGGTCATTCCTAATATTTTCTAACCAAGTCTTTTTAGGTCTACCCCTACCTTTCTTAACATAAGTCAAATCTAATACCTCTACTCTCCTAACCGGGTCATTGGAAGACCGCCATTTTATGTGACAAAACCCTCTAAGGCGACTCTCTCTAATCTTATCTTCTACTGGAGCTACTCCAACCTTTTCACGTATATGCTCATTTCGTATCCTATCTCTAAGGGTAAAGCCACTCATCCACCTGAGCATCCTCATCTCTGTCACACTTAACTTAGTATTATGCTTCTCTTTTAATGGCCAACATTTGGCACCATAAAGCATTGTAGGCCTCACTACCATCTTATAGAATTTTCCCTTAAGTTTGAGGGGTACATTTCTATCACATAACAAGCCTGATGCATTCCTCCACTTCAACCATCCAACTTGAATTCTGCTGATAATATCCCCATCTATTTCACCATCACTCTGAACAATAGATCCAAGATATCTAAAACGTGTACTCTTATTAATGACTTGATCGCCCAAAGTCACAATCCCCTCACTAGGTCTATTACTACTAAAATTACACTCCATATATTTCGTTTTAGATCTACTCAAGCGAAAACCTTTAGACTCTAAGGTTGACCTCCATAATTCAAGTTTACCTTCAACTCCCTCTCTAGTCTTATCAACAAGAAGAATATCATTAGCAAAAAGCATACACCAAGGTACATCCTCTTGCAAATGTCTAGTGAGAACATCCATGACTAAAGCAAAAAGATATGGGCTTAAGGCTGATCCTTGATGTAACCCAACCGAAATAGAAAAATACTTGGTCAATCCACTTTGTGTTTGAACACAAGTAATAGCTTCTGCATACATATCTTTAATGATTTGAATATAAGCATTATTGACTCAACTCTCCATAGCACTTCTCTTGGAACTTTATCATATGCTTTTTCTAAATCATTAGATGGCAAGACAAAAAAAAAATCGCATTTGGGGGAATTAGAGGGACCAAATTGTGCCTTCAAAATAGTTGGAGACTATTTTGATCCTTCATAAGGAGTTGATGGTTCATTTTGATTCTTTTCTCATTTTACTTGAGTATTGATCTACCATAATTTATGGATCTTTTTGCTAGTTTACACTTTTATATATACCCTAAGAGATTTATGTTTTATCTTCATTTGGAGATACTTCTTAAACCTCTAATAGAAACTTGTAAAGAGTAACAATGAGGAAGATCAATGGGTTTTTTTTTTTAATTATTTAATTTTTTTTTCTTCTTTTGAGGAAGAACAAGGGTAAGGGTATGATTTGAAGAGATTAGGAGTTCCCATAGAAACTATTTTTTTTATTTGTGAACTTGATGCTGAATTGTCTTCTGATTCTATACTAACTCGTAATCGATGACGCTAACCCATTTATGTAACAGTAATGTACGTGAAGCATACTTTATGTGATGAATCATTGTTTTTGTTTGTATCGTCATCCCCAACTTATTTCGATGCGGTATTAATCCTTAACTTGATAAAATTAAGGGTTCATTTTGGATGGCTTCTATTTTTTTTTTATAGGGGCGGTTTTAAAGTTGTCATGGAAAAAATAATTTTTTTTTTAAATTATCATAAAAAGAAATTTCGTAGCATAAAATTTTTTGTAAGCAGCAAAACAGTAATGACAAAATAGAAATTGTGATTATTCTTTAAAAATCAACACAATAAGAAAGTTGTTTCAAATGAAGCCTTTTGGGATGGCTTTCTTATTGTTTCTTAAAGCAGCTTTCTAGTATAGAAAGCTTCTTTAAGAAGCAGTGAAAAAGCCGTCTTAAATGGTGCCTGAGATTTCATTTGGGACGGCTTTCTTTCTTCTTCTTAAAGTATCTTTTTAGTTCAAAAATTTTTTTTTTTTGTACTAGAAAGCAATTGTAAAAAATAGTAAGAAAGTCGTCTCGAACAAAGCCTAAATTTTCACTTTGAATTAAGGTTATTTGCTGGAGTTAGTCAAACAATGTGAATCAGTGGAATGCTTGCATGCTGCCATCTATATCAATCAAACATCTCATACTTGTTCATCGCATAAAAATCATAAATGATCCAAATACTCTAACCTAGAGTTAAATTTTTATACTGACATTCTCCGCATTCATGTTCTGTGATTATGACATCAGTAATGAGTTGTATGCTACTCCAGGTTCAATAAATACCTCCTTAATTTAAGTCATTCTTTTGTTGGGCATTCTTATTCTTTTTAAATTTAGATCCTCTCGCACCTTGCTGTCCGTAGGCATTTTCCTTAATGAAAAGGTACAACTTGGCATGCAATTTCCGAATTTAAATTATGTAATTCGATATAGGTTTTGTTGCTCTTGCTTTGGAGAAACATTCATTCATAGCTACGCCACATCTCATAACGACTGCTCTTCTGGTTTTTCAGCTCTTTTTTGCTGTTAGCGTTAATTCCTTCATAAATTTTATTGAACCTGCAGATACCGCCAGATTGGTAATGCTGTTGCTGTTCCTGTAGCCCGAGTATTGGGCTATACTTTGGGTTTGGCATGGATGAAACAAAGCGGAGATGGGCACCTTATGACACTCCCACCAAAGTTTGCCTTTTCCGACACAGTAGAGCAGCCTTCGAGTTCTTCTTCTGGAATTCAACAATGATCCTCTTAACCTGACATTTCATTCTAACGTGAAACGGCCTTAAATCCATTATTAATTTAGTGGGTTAATTGTTGAGCTGACCATTGATCAATCTTCTTCTAATCTATTCCGATAAAAGAAAACTATCAGAATTTTTTTTTTCCTTTTGATTCTCCACTCCTTGCTTGATTCTTTAGGCCACTTAAAAGAAATCTGCTTCAAGTTTTCCTGACATTTCTTGTCCATTGCCTCATTCTTCGATTCTTCTCCAATAAGCCTCCAACATGATTATATATTTTCCACTTACCGATTGCAGCATAACTTCTTCAGCATTCAACTGTTCCAGATTTTAATCTGCTATTATCTGCAGCACTATCAATGGTTCAATGGTTCGTAGGTTATAAGATGTAGCGCCAAAATTCCTCTCTTTTTTGGACTGGATTTTGTTGTCATTGCAATGAAATATTTTCTTAATGTCGTAGATTCAGAGGAGATAGTCTTTACTTATGTTATATTCTTAATCTGGTAGCTCAGTTGTAGTGAGTTGTCTGTATGATTTCAAGCCAGGCCTTGAACAGATGGCTGATTGTGCTTCAATAATGAGATTGATGACAGAAGCGCCTGCTCAAACCTTGATTCCACTTATTGTGATTTTGTCATAGTTGTCGACGTTTTTACTGCGAACGAATCTAAATTATTAACGGATAATGAAACTGATTTAAATGTGCTTAAGTGATTGTTAAGTTCTCGTTGCTTATTTTGTTAAAAGCATAGTTTTAAAAACTGGATTAGACTGGTCTGTTTGATTGATTCAAATGTGAACTGTTCATATGCTTGGATTGATTCATATTTTAAATTGTCAGTATCAAATTAGCATGAATCAGTTTAACCATCGGTTTCTTTCGGTGAATTGTTGAATTGGTCTCAGTTTTGTAGAACTAGTCGGTTCAATGTTGTTTGATGTAAATAAATTAATGAATTAATTTAATAAATATAGTATAAGATATTATTTCAAGCCAGGCCCTGAACAGATGGCTGATTGTGCTTCAATAATGAGATTGATGACAGAAGCGCCTGCTCAAACTTTGATTTCACTTATTGTGATTTTGTCATAGTTGTCGACGTTTTTACTGCAAACGAATCTTAGGCTTCGTTTGGGATAGCTTTCTTCCTGCTTCTTAAACTAGTTTTTTAATTCAAAAATTAAAAATTGTGTTAGAAAGCCGTTTTAAGAAGCAGTACAAAAACCATCCCAAACGAAGCCTAAATTATTAACGGATAATGAAATTGATTTATATGTGCTTAAGTGATTGGATTTTATTTTTGAAATTAAGTTCTCGTTGCTTATTTTGTTAAAAGCATAGTTTTTAAAACTGGATTAGACTGGTCTGTTTGATTGATTCAAATGTGAACTGTTCATATGCTTGGATTGATTCATATTTAAAATTGTCAGTATCAAATTAGCATGAATCAGTTTAACCATCGGTTTCTTTCGGTGAATTGTTGAATTGGTCTCAGTTTTGTAGAACTAGTCGGTTCAATGTTGTTTGATGTAAATAAATTAATGAATTAATTTAATAAATATAGTATAAGATATTATTGAGTTTAATACATTAAGTTATATTAATATGTTTTAATTTTATAATGAGCATTAAATTTTCATAATAATTAATTTTTCAACCAATTACCAACAAAATTTATTCACATGATTTTTTTTCTTCTTTTTTTGACTTATAATTTTGGTTTCATTGCCTTGTCTAAGCAATTATCACATGCAAATTAAAAAGTTATATAAACAAGATAAAAGAAGAGCTCTTAAGTGATATGAGATTAAATAATCTAATATAAGTTTTTTTATTCAAATACATAAATTATATATTTTTAAATAATATAAAGAAATTTTTAAGTGTGGTAGAGATGATGATGCTTAGGTGGATGAGTGGTTTTATTTTTAGAGATAAGATACGAAATGAGCATATACGTGAAAATGTTGGAGTAGCTCTAGTAGAACATAAGATTAGAGATAGTTGCCTTGGATGGTTTGGTCACATAAAATGGCGGCCTTTTGATGACCCGGTTAGGAGAGTAGAGGTATTAGATTTGACTTATATTAAGAAAGGAAGAAGGCCGAGCCGCACATATAGGGAAGAAAGGGATTTCCACATGGCGGCGAGCTCACGTCGTCTCTAATCCGATCAAAACGTCGGAAAGCTCCCGGTTCGCAGGATGGAGAAGCAAGAGGAGCGGAAAGCCTTTTAGAGGAGCCAAGTAGAAGGCCGAAAGCCTCAATTTCCCTCTTTTTAACGCATGAGACCGGTCATGGGAGACACGACATCAGTTGCGCGTGCGATTCGCACGACGTGGATGGCAGGAGAGAGATGGTAGTGCTGAGTATTTTTTAGTTTTGATTTGGTCACACAGGGCAAGGTCAGAAGGATATAAATTATTAATTATTCCAATTAAATTGATAATTCAATTTAGAATTTTAAATTATATTATGTATATTAATTATTATGGTAGCCATAACTTAAAATAATAATTATAAATATAATAAACAGCCCCTAAGAGTTTTCGAGGTTTAGAAACATGAACAGTTTAATTTTTTATTTATAAGAAATTGATGTTAATTATAAAACTAAAATTATGTATAATTTTTATTAAAGAAAAAGTATAATAAAAATTTTTCAAAAATTATATTCCTTAAAAAATTATTTATTACAATGTTTAATTAAAAAAAGACTACGCTCATAAACTATAATACCATCAACTCTATCATTAATGCAACAACAACCAACAACATCAAGCCTTTATCGCCACCTACTGGTCGGCTATCATGAATTCCTTTATCCTCCAATGCTGTTCCTATTAAAAGTCAAATCATTCCGTTTTAAATCTAAAAGAAAAGGTCATTTTACCCCTCAATTTTTCTAACCAATCTTTTTAGGTCACGCCTACCTTCTTAAACATTAGAGCAAATCTAATTCCTCTACTCTCCTAACCGAGTATCGGAAGGCCCGCCTTTTATGTGAACCAAAACCATCTAAGGCAGACTCTCTCTATCCTTTCTTCTACTTGGAAGTACTACTCCAACCTTCTCACGTATATGCTCCATTTCGTATCCTATCCTCTATAGGTAAGCCACTCATCCACCTGACATCCTACTCTGCATCAACTATTATATTGATGCTCTCTTTAATGACCAACAATCTCGAACATAAAGATTGCCAGCCTCACTACCATCTATTTATAGAATTTTCCCTTTAAGTTTGAGGGGTAACATTTCTATACACATAACAAGCCCGATGACTTCCTCGCACTTTCACACCATTCCACTTGAAGATTCTGCGATAATATCCCATCTATTTCACCATCACTCTAACAATAGTCCAAGAATATCTAACTGCGGTTACTCTTATATAATGACCATGATCGCCCAAATCACATCCCCTCATAGGTCTATTACTACGCTAAAATTACTCCCATATATTCCGTTTTAGATCTATCTCAGAGCGAAAACTCTTAAGACCATCTAAGGTTGACCTTCCATAATTCAAATGTTTAACCTATCAACCCCTCTCTAGTCTATCAACAAGAAGAATATCTATCAGGCAAAATACAATAACCAACGTCATCCTCGTTGCAAATGTCTAATGAGAAACATCCATGACTAAAGCAAAAAGATATGGGCTCTTAAAGGCTGCATCTGACGATTAACCCAAACGAATAGAAAAACTTCTTCAGGTCAAATCCACTTGTGTTTGAACACAAGTAATACTTATGCATACATAACTCTTAATGATTTGAATATAGCATATTGGACTCAACTCTCCATAGACTCTCTTGAGGACTTTATCATATGCCTTTTCTAAATCATCTAGATGGCAAGACCAAAAACAAAATCGCTTTTGCGGGACATTAGAGGACCAAATGTGCTTCAAAATAGTTGGAGACTATTATTTGATCCTTACATTAAAGCGAGTTGATGGTTCATATTGTGTATTCTTTTCTCATATTTAACTTGAGTATTGATCTCCATAATTTATGAATCTTTTGCTAGTTTACACTTTTATATAACCCTAAGAGTTTATGTTTTTATCTTCATTTGAGATACTTCTTAAACCGTCTAATCGAAACTTGTTTAAAGAGTACAATGCAGGAACATCAATGGGTTTTTTTTTATAATTATTTAATTCTTTGTTTCTTCTTTGAGGAAGAACAAGGGTAAGGGTATGATTTTGAAGAGATTAGGAGTTCCCATAGAACTATTTTTTATTTGTGAACTTGAATGTGAATTGGTCTTCCTGCTTCTATACTAACTCATAAATCGATGACGCCTAACACCACTTTATGGTAACAGTAATGTACGTGAAGCATACTTTAATGTGAGAATCATTGTTTTTGTTTGATATCGTCATCATCCCAACTTTAATTTCGATGTGGACTTAAATCCTAACTTGAAAAATTACGGTCATTCTTGGATGGCTTCTATTTTTTTTTTATAGGGCGTTTTAAAGTATGTCATTGCGGAAAAAATAATTTTTGTTTTAAATTCATCATAAAAAGAAATTCGTAGCATAAAATTTTTGTACGCAACAACAATAATGAGAAGAAAGAAATTGTGATTATTCTTTAACAATCAACACATAAAAAGTTGTTTTCAAAATAGAAGCTTTGGCGATGAGCTTCTTCTATTGTTTCTTAAAGCAGCTTCTAGTTAGGAAAGACTTCTTAAGAAGCACGTGAAAACCGTCGCTTAAATGAGCCTGAATTTCATTTGGGACCGGCTTCTTTCTTCTTCTTTAAAGTATCTTTTAGTTCAAAATTTTTTTTTTTTGTACTAGACCAAGCAATTGTAAAAAGATAATAAAGAAAGTTCGTCTCGAACAAATGCCTAAATTTTCACTTGAATTAAGTTATTTGACTGCGAGTTAGTCAAACAATGTAATCAGTGGAATGCTAATGTCATCTGCCATCTATAATCAATCAAAACACTCATACTTAAGTATCCATCGCATAAAATCATAAATGATCCAAATACTCTAACCTAAGTTATAAATTTTTATATGACATCTCCGCATCATGTTCTTGTGATTATGACATCAGTAATGAGATTGTGTGCTACTCCAGTTTCAATAAATATCCTCACTTAATTTAAGTCATTCTTTTTCGTTGGGCATTCTCTATTACTTTTTAAATTTAGATCCTCTCGCACCTTGCTGTCCGTAGGCATTTCCTTAATGAAAGTACAACTTGCATGCAATTCCGAATTTAAATTATTCAATCGATATAGGTTTAGTTGCCCCTTCGCTTTGGAGAAATCATCATTCATAGGCTTACGCCACATCTCATAACAGACTGCTCTTCTGTCTTTTTCAGCCTTTTTGCTGTTGACGTTAATTCCTTCATAAATTTTATTAGAACCTGCAGATACCGCCAGATTGGTAATGCTGTTGCTTGTTCTCGTAGCCCGAGTATGGGCTATACTTGGTTTGGCATGGATGAAACAAAGCGCGAGATGGCACCTTATTGACACTCCACAAAGTTTGGCCTTTCCGACACAGTAGAGTCAGCCTTCGAGTCTTCTTCTGGAATCTTCAACAATGATCCTCGTCTAACC